CACACACACAACCACACAACCACACAACCACGCATTTGCACAGAAACACATGAACACACACTCACACAAATCTGATTCTGGGAAGAAGCCTGTGATTTTCAGTCCGTCCAAACGTTGTGCCGTAGTGTGTGTTCAGTTTGTACGATTGCATTTCTTGCATTATTACATTTGGAGTTTTCACCTTAATCCTTGGGCTTTTGTTATAGAAATTAAATAATTATATGTTGTATGTTAAAGTGTTAGGCTCTGGTTAGTCTGTTTAAATGAGAAGAAGTCAGTGCAGGGTCTTAACAAGAATAAATGTGCAAGATTGTGTTTGTGTGTGCCTCATAATTACGAAGCCCACTCCTGTCCTGTCTCATGTACGAAAGCTGCCATCATATGGATGTTTGCAGTCACTGCACTTGCATCAGTTGGACTGAATAATGTAAAATGTTGCTGGCAATATTGGATAAAAGCAGGGATTTATACGGCACATCTTATATAGTGTATAGGCTGCATAAAATATATGTCCTTGAGGTTTTAGGTTCTTGGTTTTTGTTCAATTTTTCCCCCCTAATCTTGTCCTTAATTATATGAAAGAATACACACCGAAACACACTGGTCCTGTGAGTATAATTGTGTCTTTTTTAGGTGTTAAGCAAACATTTTAAAGTTAGTATTTTACTCCGTGCGCCGCAATCACCTGGAATTCGAACAGTGATTTGCGACAGTGTTTCAAACACAGCCGTCATACTTTACGGCAGGGTGAAGCGCGAGTCAGGCTGCTGTCAGCAGGTAGGCTGACAAACTAACAGCAACAGATGTACAGCACTTTTTTATTCAGTCCAAACTGTCCCTTCAACATGTTATAGACTTGTTCTAAGTATGTTTTGCCGTAATTTTTATCCTTTCGTGAAGTCGCTAGGCGCCGTTGCTCCCATTGGCTAACAGCAGCTAGCGTTACTGACGCTTCAGGAGGCTAAAAATGTAGCCAAGCACTGTGCATGCCCCCGTACTAAACAACAACATGCCCCTCACTTGCCATTTTTAACAAACGATTAAAGAGTCGAACAAAACATGACACCGTTTGTTGTAGGTATTTAAATATTGACGTCTTTTATCAACATGCAGCAGCTTCAGGGCCGGTTTACGGCAGTTGTCGTAAACACGAAGCTCTGCAGGGATTTATTTTTTTTATGCAAATACGTTACCAAATAAAATGTACCACAGATGCTGGTCATGCCGGAATGATGAGACTCATGGGAATAAAAACATTTTGTTCATAATATTTACATTAAAACAGTTTTTTATTACGGCTTATGGGAATATAAACAACAACATATTGAATTTTCCAACCTGAATACAAACCAGTGAGAGCTGTTTAAAGCCAATGCTTTAATCTAAGGTATCCTAGGAAGAGGAAAACGGTACAATACACGTTCTAGATTGAAATAAAACTACGATGATTAAACACCCCTTCACCTACATGCAGACACCTACAGCTTTACTGCATGTTATTTAACATGATAGATTCGTTTTGATTAAATGTAAATGGTTATGTAAAGATTTAATCTAAATAAGTAAATCGGCGAATAAATAATTGCACCAATTGCATGTAAAGGAAATTGCAGCATGTTTGTAAACTAACTTTAAAATTTGTGTTAACCTGCATAGGAAATGCGCATTGGACTGCCCGGTGCAGAGACACTGCAAGGTGGATCCTTAAAAGCTTTGGTTGTGGTGAGTGTGCAGCGCATGCTGATGCCTCTATCACATTACATCGGTTTCACCTGGGATGGCTTCAGACTGTGTGTGTGTGAGAAACTGAGTGTGCCCTGCTGTAACGATTTGTTTACACTGTGTTGATTCTTTCTTCCTGCTGTTTCCTCACACAGACGGTGCTCCTGAGTGTGTTTATGTTCCAGCTGCTGAGGACTGTCGGACTAAGAGCCTTCTCCATGGCGTCTGAGACCTACTTTTCAGGCACACACTCGGCCGCTTTTGTCACATGTCCTAATGACACCGTAGCCATGGATTTGGCCAGGTGATAGAACTAGTAACACTTTGATTTTGGGTATTTGACTGAGATTTGATAGATTGGCTTTTTTTATTTTATTTTTTTTTTCAGTTAACTTTCAGTTAAATTTTTTCAGTTAATGAAGAAGAAAAACAAGCAAACTTCTATGACTCGGCTAGTTCAAATGAAACTGTGAATGCAATTTAAAAAAAATTGGTCCTTTATTCGTCCCATAATGGGGACATTCTGTGTGAGTCTTTGCAATTCACCTGGGCTGCCACAGGTGGCGACATTGAGTACACTGCTCGAACCCAGGACATTCTGCACGTAGATGTTTAAGGCAGGTGTTATAAACTGCTACATTATGGATTCCATCTCTTTATTTACTTTAAATAGAATTTATTTCCCAATCTGTTTATTCCTTGATTAGAGCAGAAACTCATTTAAATGATATATAGACATAAAGTAACATAAAAGTTTTGTCATTTTAATCCACAAAGTCATTCTTGTTTGAGGGTTGGACATTATGGATATAAAGTTGTTGTTTTTTTCCTGAGGCTAAAAAACGTAGAAGACAAATGAGTTTTTCTGTTTCTGTCATGTCTCTCATTCACTTTCATTTGTGTCTAATTCAATCTTTGCTCACTCTCCCAAAGGGGCATCGTGGAACGGAAACTCGCTGCCTGCGTCAACATCGTCCCGGCAATCAAGTCCGTGTAAGTTCTGACGTTGTTCCTCATTAGGTGCAGAAGCACAGGCGGGGTTTTTGAAGAAGGATAGAATAAAGGACGTGTTTTGTCCTGTGACACGGGTCCATGATTGAATTTGTTCTATTGGATTTGTTTCATTCCTGCAGATACGAATGGCAGGGGAAGATTGAGGAGGACAACGAGGTTCTTCTGGTGAGAGTGCTGACTTTATGGATTCTAACTTTTCTGGTTCTTGTGGATTCTGTCACAGGATCCACAACAACTGACCTCATGTGTAACAAGAGTATCAAGCCTTGATCCTGGTTTTATTTTTTTTAAACTCGGCTCACAAATAAATTTGCAGTCCATCATTTTACATAGAAAAAATAATTATGAAATCCTCCTTACCATACTATTGAAAAATACACACACACACACCTACACACAGTTAATTTAATTTTGATTGTGCTGCATTACAGCCCAGGTCCCTTCGGTATTAATGTTCATCTGTGTCATCTCTCAGAGAGAGGTCAGAGTGTCCTCCACTCAGTCTTGAGCTCAATTCATTTTTTCCTACTTGTTACTCTCTGCCTGTGATGAAATGCTGTGGTGCTGCGTGCACGCTTTTCTCGTGTGTCAGAGAAAGTCGGTCACGCTGACCTTGTGTCTCCTTCCTGGTTCAGATGATTAAAACAAGAAGTTCCAAGGTCCCCGCTCTGGCTGAATATGTCCGGTAAGTGTCTTTATGGACTGGCTTCTGAAAAAAAAAGAAAAAGAAAATTACCATTTCCCGACTGAACTCATTTACATATATTCCATTTCCTCGGTGTATTACTCTGCCTGTGCTCAATATTCACAAATGCTTTTTATGGACAGTTAGGATTGACTGGATTAACATTGGAAATGCACACGTTATTGACATAAATACTGAAGCTGGAGGTTGGTGTCAAAGAGTCTGGGAGTTAGTGAGAGCTTTTCATCTGACTGGATTGTATTTATCAATATTCTTTGTTATATGACAAAGTGCAAAAGTACTTGGAGAAAAAAAAAGCAGGAGAGAAATAACATCAGGAGTAGCATTTAAACTGGGAGAAATTCCACTTATAATTTCCTTTATTTAAAAGATTAAATTTTGGATTTCTTTTTTTTCTCATGATCAAGTCTCACTATTTTTTTTACCTTTACATTAAAAGTAAAAGCTAAAAAGTTTTTTTTTTCTCATGATCAAATCTCACTATTTTTTGTTTTTAACCTTTGCATTAAAAGTAAAAACCAGCTGGAAAACTTCAGACTAACGTCCCCCAATTATACAATTACACATTAATAAATATTCATTTATTATTACTTAATTACCACAAGAAGATTTTTACATCCACTTCTTTCAGCTCAAGGTTAGTTTGATTCTCTCATGTTTTATTAGCGACCAAAAATGGGAAGACAGATATGTTGAACGAGTGCTAGTCTGTGTCTAATTATAAACGTAGCTCACTTTAATGGCACAGACCGAACTGAACCTTTATCAATGAGGCCAAGTGTTTGGTTTTTTAATCACCGCCGTTCACATTCATCTCTGACTCACCCCTGCTCAACCTTGTCGTTCAGTTCTAATCATCCTTATGAAGTGGCCGAGGTCATCAGCCTCCCCATCGACCAGGGCAACCCGCCCTACCTGAAGTGGATTGGAGAAACTGTACCTGAGTAAAGGAGCTGATGAAAAAGAAAAAGGTTTTTTTTTTTTTTTCTCCCCGGGTTAACGTGAAAAAGAAACTGTTCACCTCGTGTTCAACACCTTTCTGCCTTTCTGTAATTGTACCACTAGTGGGCAGCATTTGTCTTCTCTTTCACTGTCACTAGTTTTCAAGTGTCAGACGTTGGGAAATTCTTGTTTCTGTCTCCTTGAAAATAAAAAGGGAGAATTTTTTTTTTAATTCTGTGTTTTTTTTAGTCATTTTCGTTGAACAATATTCCATTTACAGAAAACACACTGTTCAGTTGTACACAGTTACAAATGATGACGTTACGATACACATCCATGCTCAACAGTCCAGTGTCTGACGTGACGTCACAGGTTTTTCTGTACAGTATGAAATAGTGTAAACGTGTATTCTGACTTCAGAAAAAAAGGACTTATTACTGAGACAAATTTCAAATACTGACAATCAAAACAACAGCAGATAATAACCCCCCACCCCCCACAAAAAAACAGTTTGCATTCAAATACTTTGGCTTGGTCAGTCTTAGTGGATGAGTGACATCATATTGTTTATCGGTGTCCGGTATCATGTAGTAAAAAGCTACATCTTCAACCCACGGCGTTTCGTGGTTACGTCGCCTTCTTCCATGTATGTATCAGGAAAGTCGTGTTCTATCATTCCGACGTACGGCGTTGATCTCTCCAACTTTGTAGCACGCACAGAGAGCGGAGCGGACGAATACTTTTGTCACGTGAAAAAACAGCTTTGTTTACATTCGCCGGTTGTAAGACATAGATACAGTAGCATTGTAGCTCGTGCTACATTCGCTGTCTTTAGTTTGTGTTGTTCTTTTGGAAACTTTTTGCACTTCATTATGGCTCCAAGGCGTAAGTCAGAGTAGATGAGTGACTGATGTACAGTATGTGAGTTCCGACTTACGGCTTCCAACGTAAGTCGTCAAAATTTCACTTTCTAGGAATTTTAAAAATCAAACAATTTTTAAAGGAAATTTACAAAGTTACATTTTTAAAGTTGTGACATATTTGTGACGTTCAGCCAGTGGATGTTTACTTCCTGAAGCACCGCCTACATCCAGTTTGATCGTTATTTAATTTCATGAAATTGACCTGTAATGTACCTCAAAAAACGTGCTCTTTTCTCCTTTTTTTTCATATAAACAAAACAAGAATCTTTATCAAACTATCACAAATCACAATATTTCTCATGAAAAAAACATCCATCACTTACTGCATATGTACATCACAATAATACTGATGTGTTTTTACATTTGTAAATATTCTTTTCTCACTTTGATTTATTTTTTTATTTTTTGGTTTCAGTCAATGTAGATTTTTTTTTCCCCTTTAACAACAGTCGCTCTTTAAATTAAACACCTGATATTTACACCTGAATGAAACAAACACTGATAAACGCTGCAGTCCTGTTCTTTCCTGACACAGTTACAGGTAACTGATCTCCAGAACTGAGCTCTTGTCCAGCAGTTCTTCAGGCTGTGACCTGCTGTTTCTGACGTTACTGACCGCTGCCGAAACTGGAGGCTTTCCACCTCCATCTGCTGGGTTTCTGCTTGATTCTGCTTTATCTGACGCCATCTTACACGTCTGCCCCAGCTGTGTCACACTGTTGCCCGTGACGCCACTTTGACCTCCGACCTCTGATGGCTCACAGGTATCTCTTATCTCCCGGGTCCTGTCTTCTGCGTGGCCGTCGTCTTTGTCTTCGTTCTCCGTTCCTCGGTGAATGTCGCTGACTTCTTCACTTTTTATTGTCTGAAGCACAATACCGCCCCACTCCTCTGTGGGGCGCTGCACCTCGGTGCCGGCCCTGTCGTTGTTCTTCACCCTGCGTGACGTGCGGCACAGGGCCTTCCTGAAGCCTCTCTTGAAGTTGTCGGACAGGAAGCCGTACAGAATGGGGTTAGCGCAGCTGTTAGCATAAGACAGCACCACCACGAAAAAGAACCACCACGAGGTTGACGATGTTCAGAGCGTAGAAGGGAAGCCAACAGAGGACGAACACCGCCACCACTATCACCACCATTCGGGTGATCTTACGCTCTGACTTCCTGCGGCGGGAGGAAGTGGCCTGTGCTCGCTTACCAACACTTCGTACCTGTGACAGAAAGAAACCACCCGTTGGTTTACATGTAACCACTAAAACAACAGAAAAAAAATTACTAACATTTCTTTCTGGTCTCTAAGGTTTATTTTTAATTAAGTCTGTTTGGGAGAATCTGTTTTGTAATTTATTTGATCATTAGCAGCGTGTAAACAAGAGACGGTGATTTAATCTTCCTGGAGATGAAAATACAGTCGTCGGTCTGTGAGTCGGGGCGTCGTCCGTAGATATTTGTGTTTCTCCGCTGAATAATGCGATGCTGTTAACGCTACTGTATTTTTTATAAGCCAACTTTGTTTTTGTACAAATGAGCTGCAAGAATCAACAGATAATGATCCGCCGTCGAGGGTCATTAGCGGTTTTCTTACATAAACACGTGTATTATTAAAATCATTACATTACAGATTTAAGAAGAAGTTTTTACTAATTTATATAAGGACTGAGGAAAGATTCTCCAAAGAGCCAATCACTGCAGCTGAATGTGTTTTTATGGCCACGATGTTTTCCTGTAAAACAGTGTCTCACGGCTCTGCTCACAGGCCACTAGGGCAGACATGAGTTTATATACACATATATAATATACATATATAATATATATGAGCTTATCATTACTAGCAGAGTCTTCCAGAGCGGAGCTAATGGAGGATTGACCAAGTTTCAGACACCAAACCCAACCGTCTGTTACAGTAAATGCTTTACCTTGATGACAATCAGCAGATAGCACAGGCAGATGACCAGCAGGGGGCAGAAGAAACCAACGGTGCATGTGTAAACGATGAAAGACGTCTTCCACACGTCACTGGGCTCAGGCCACACGATGCTGCAGTTGCCGTCGTCCTTCAGGACATCGGCGAACACCACCACGGGCAGCACCACGACGAAGGACCCTGCCCAGACCGTGGCACTGATGGCCTTGGCCACACGGGGGCGCCGCCACCAGGAGGAGCGAATTGGGTGCACCACGGCCAGGTAGCGGTCCACTGACATCACAGTCAGACAGAAAATGCTGGTAAACTGGTTGATGGCGTCCACCGTCATGACGACGCGGCACATCAGCGAACCAAAGGGCCAGAAAAGCAACGCGTTCTGTACCGCCAGGAAGGGCAGACCTAGCATGAAGAGCTCATCGGCGATGGCTAAATTGAGGATGTAGATGTTGGTGACGGATTCGTTCTTGGTGTAGTTGACGACGACATGGATGACCAGCGTGTTTCCCAGCAGCCCGACGACACACACGATCCCGTAGATCAGCGGGATGAAGATTCCGGCCAAACCCGGGAGCAATTCAGAGCCGGTGCAGTTGTGACAGTTGTTGA